TTTTTGACGGTGCTCCACCATAAATTTATCACATCTTTACTAATGATAGTCTAATATAATCTTTCTTTTGGTTTATATACTATTTCTAATAAATATGATTTTTTTCACCAACTGTTTGGAGTACTTTTCCATTAGCTAGTTTCTCGGTCTACCTTATCTTTTTATCAGCCTGTCTTACAATAAAACAAAACAAAAATATTTATAATAATAAAACTACGTTACTGTATATAAATAATTTTATTTTATCACCATCTATCATATTGATCCCGAAATGGTTCAAGCCCGTGTGAACCTATCCACATGCCCAACATTGTCCAAAATCGCGCAAAGTTTTAATTGAGATAAACGCGTAAATAGCGAGAGCAAAACGGCGTAGACCAGCGACTGCAAATGACAAACTAAATTGCCTTTAATTCAATTATTTAATATTAAACTGCTTAACTCGAGAAGCAGAGGTTTACAGCTGCTCCAGAAATGATTAAGTGTACATACAAAGTTCAAAACGTTCAGAACTCCATTAAAATTGTTGAAGGGCTGTTTGGAGATCTCTTTCAAATAATGCTCATTGTAAGAAACTTTCGAATTATAGTTGTATTTTGAAACTTGGATGTTTTTATAGAATCAAATAACTCATGGAAAAACTTATTCGTTCATTCACAGGGTTTGCTGATCGGCAAAACTAGTAAAGTTTGAAGTAAATTACTTTATTTCATTTGTTCGAAATTCTTTTGATTCTTATACGTACATTTCTTCAATGAGAATTTCACAGAATATGAATAAACTATGTAATCTTATATGGGTCTTATCACATATCGATATTTGTGAAAAAATCTTAAGTAAGAGATTGATATTAATCTCTGATTAGTCATTAATTAACATATACAAATATATATTTATTATATAAAACGAATTGAACAAACGTTTCGAAATTAACAAGACGCAAAATAATTGTGAACAATTTTGTTTACGAAATTATAATTAGGGGGAAGTCCCCGAGTGACGGACACCTAAGGTTATTTATAAATAAATCAAAAAATATTTTACGAAATGTTTATTAAATTATAACTTATGTTAGATAACAAAGTTATCTAAGTAAGTCAGATACGCAACCTTTGCTAAAAATAATACTATCAATCAAACTTTGGTAACAAAAAATATAATTTTATGATGAAAGTGGCACCTAGTACCGGAAATTTCAAAATAACCAGTATTGAACACATAGGTAGCCACTTTGGAATGTCTGCACATGTGTGTTTGACGAATATTCTTAGATATTGCAAAAAAAATCACTATTTATCTGTTTATCAACCCTTTTGGCTGGGCCACACCGATGCTCTCAGCTGGAGCATTCATCATAAGATTTTCATTCTTTGACTAGGAAATACGAAAAATGTGGGTATGTAGTGAGCGTTAGTTCTTATACAGAACAAAATTAAATATTTAAAATAAATTACGTCAACTGTCACAAGAAATTTCAATATGCCTACTGTCCGGTGCTAAGGGACGACTTAGTGTCCGGTGCTAAGCGACAAGCATGTTTGTTCATTTGGTGGTGTCTACTAAAATTGTTTAAAATTCTAATAATATTCTACCTTTTTACGGATAACAATCAAGTACTACTTTTATCATTCAATGCCACTCAAATAGAAATGCATAAATACGGTAGAATTACTTCCATTGATATTTAGGTGACGCCGTAATTTTGCGCCTAAAACAGCACAGGATCGCTCTCGCCGTGGCCGTGTGCGTCACAGGTGAGTCTTGTGTGCCCCCCGCACCCCTTTCACTTGTATTTGGAAATAAAAAGATTTATACTCGCTTAAATAATACGTGTTAAATAGAGTGTCCGGCATTAGGTGCTGTCCGACGTTACAGGACTTCTCCTTACACGATAACATAATAAAATTTTGATAATGCAATAAAATTCGACCATAAAGCAGACTCATAGAATTGTCCATTATATAAATAAACCACTAGAAGAGAAAAAGTACTGTTCAGCAGCATTCTTGGATATTCAGCAAGCATTTGATAAGGTCTGGCATACCTGCCTATTCTATAAATTAAAAATTTATTTGACGTACTCTCTTTGCTTAATAATAAAATTATATCAGTTAAATAGGAGTTTTTTTGTAAATATTTTAGACACTGAGTTATCAAATAAGACGAATAAGTCGAATCGACTTGGTTCCAATTCTATTCCTAATATACACATCTGACATACCAATAATAACTAACACTTTGATCGTAACGTTTTCTGATGATACGTGCATTCTAGCCAGACACATACATCCCAGTTCTGCATCTGAGTTACTCTAGAACCAATTAAATCAATTAGAGAAATGGAACAAAACCTGGAGATTTGAAATGAATGGTTTGAAGTCAGAACATGTGACCTTTATGCTTAGAAGAGAGTCCTGTCCACTAGTGAGAATAGGAAACACTCAAATTTCTCAAGAAGACCATGTGAAATATCTCGGCATATACCTCGAGGAGAAAACTTAATTGGCGAATCCGCATTAGAAAAGAGACAACAGCTTGAGATAAAACCAAAGGGCTGTACTGGTTATTAGGAACTAAATCCAAATTAAGCTCATACAATAAGCTACTTTTATATAAAACTTTATTCAAACCAATTTGGTGCTATGGAATACAATTGCGGGGCAGTGCTCATAAGAATATTATAGAAGTGATTTCAGAACAAATTCTTGAAAATTCTCTTAGGAGAACCGAAATATATCCCGAACTGGCTGATCCATCTCGATACAAACACACCCACAATAAAAGATAACAATAAATAAATAACAAAAACAGCACATAATTATAGAAATAAGGTCATCAGACACCCAAATTCACTAGCAAACTTCTTACGACGTATGTGGAAAAAAAAGCTTCACTTGATCTAAGTCATCAATTTTCCTGATGAAGATTGAAATAACTTAGTTATTATTTATAAGAAATTATTTATAAGTAAATAGTTAGGATTATATCATTATCATAAAAAAATTGTCAATATTAAAACGAATGAAAAACAACTATTGAGTTGTTTTTTTTTTCAACATGTCAATATAGTATACAATGTCCCTTTACGGCTGGCAATTTTAAATTCCCCAAATTTACTAAATGTCTTTAACAGTAGTAAATAAAATAAAGAAAAAAATTAATATATTATAAAAATGAAAACATATGTAAAAATATATATATGAAACTATGCATCATAAGATAAGAACATAGCTTAGCGTGTATTTAATTAGTGGCACAATAAATGTTGTAGATTCATGAAATACTATAAGTAGATTGCACTATTTATAAAATCACTTCCCATGATTTTTAATTAAGATAGCATTTTTAAAAACGACTATGTGATTGTTGAAACTGCGCGTACACAATTTTTAAACAAATTTAGAAATGGAATCAGAAAAGAATTGCAATACAATTTAGTTTTTCTGGTTTCTCCTTAGAGTAAGATTTTAATCAGTTTGTAATTGAAATTTATATTTATCGTCTTATAATAAAATATTGCCCAGCTTTCATACTATCTGTAGCATATGACAAATGAAGAAAGTTCTCAAGCATAGATATACATCCGTCCAAAGTAATTGATGTTATTTTCCCTCAAGAAATATTCAAATAACAACGTGTATACGTTAAGCGTTGCGCGTTTTATTCATAAATTCGCATTTAATATAATGTCCTAAAATGTATGGCACAATTTTCTCTAAAGTATCATTTTTCATGAATCATACTTTCTAAGCGAACTGATGTATCAATTTAGGAAATTTTACCTTGTCATGGAAAACATTTTTTTGCGGATGTTGAGAAATGTGAGATTTTTTCTTTATTGTTTGGTATTTGGATTCAATTGTGAAAGTCATGGTAAAGGCAAAAAGTTGAGTTAATATGAGTTGTTTTGATTATGAAATACTAAAAATTAATTAAATATTTTAAAAATGCGTTGACCAGAAATGCTGCTTCAATTTATAATGAATTCTTCATATATAAATATATATATATATATATATATATATATATATATATATATATTTATATATGTGCATATAACATGTGGAAAATTTTCCATTTTAACTGTCTTAAAGTCGAGTTGGAGTTTATCTCAGCTCAGGAACTTACCTTCAGGCCTAACAACCCACTCTATAAATCTATATATTTGTATATATATATATATATATATATATATATATTGTGGTTTTACTGGTTTGGTATATATATAATTATCTCCTTTTTATATTTTTATATTCAATATCAAATATATATATATATGTTTTTTCAGGTTACTGAATGATGACACACATTAAGTGTCGCAACACCTAATGGACTAACAAAAATTTTAATTTTAATCTTTTCTTAATTCGACGATTGGGCTGCAAAATAGTTCAAATATATATATATATATATATATAAATATATATATATATATATATATATATGTGTGTGTGTATATGTATATGTATATATAATTTAAATTGATACATAAGATAATATATTGCAAATGTTTTCATAAAATATTGAATAGTATACATACTTCTGAGGAATTTAGCATATGCTGATATGTGTTTGAAAATTTATGGATCCGATGATATTCAACTTACAATATGCGGCATATGGGATCCGTATGCAAATATTTTTTTAACTCACTCCATCATGTACATTTTGAATTATTTTCAAGACATTTCACGCATTTATATGAAAAGATTATCCCATATCAAATGATAATCGGTTTCAAAAAACTATTTCATTTAATACATTTATTAATAACTCGCGGCATATTACAACAAATTTGCTTTTTTACCATCTATAATTTTCATTTCATATAAAATGACGAATAAATCTGATTGAAAAAATAAGGAAATGAGAATGTAATAGTTTTATATAGCGATAATCAAGAGTAAATGCATAGAGCCCATTTATAATATAAGCAATTTTCATTAAATAGAGTTCGATTGAATATTTTTTAATAAACAAAAATTCTTTATTCTTTTCAGTTCTGACAACGAGACGTTTAAGAACTGTCACGAATTGTTTCGTGATGAGTTTGGCTGTAGCAGATTGGCTTGTGGGCATATTTGTGATGCCCCCAGCAGTGGCTCTATTTTGGGTTGGTAAGTATCCTTATAATTCTTTATGTTACTTATAAATTTAATTAATCTGTAATATTCGATCGATCTGTATTTTCCTTGCTACCAAATCTACTCGTGAATAGGACAATTTATTTGATCATTGTTCTACTCTAATATTATTGACATATATGGTACATTTATCCAAACCTATACAATAATAAAACACGCTGCCACAACTTGTAATTATAGAATTTAATTCAAAATTGGAATTGAAGCCTGAAATCAATTCAAGCATGGTAAAATAGGTTTGGTTTTAGACTCCCACAATAAATACAAAGCTGTTAGTTTAATACGAATATCTGAGAAATTTTCTCAAAATGAAGCAGTCTTGAGTGCTTTTAACTATCAAGCAAGTACAGAGTAACTCGATTTTAGTTAATAATTAAAATTAAGATATAATATCGTCCAACTCAAATGGATTTAATTGCTTGTATTTTATATTGATATAAGTATTCATAAAAATTGTAATTTTTTATCTTTATAATTCTGATAGTTTTGCTTATCAAGAATCTTTGAAGAAAATTATGATAAGATGCTAAGAAATTAGTTTTTTTAGTTTCTCATTGCAATGTTAATTATAATACTAATCCTTAATGACTCAAATGAGAAATCAAGCTTATCTTTATTTTTAGTATGATTAGATTAAAATTTAATCGCTGTTATATATAAGCTTTTGCGCATATCAAATTACATTGAATAATTTTATATATTTATATATGGATTTGAAATCAAGCTAATCTTCAGCATGTGGAAACAATCGTATAATCTAAACCTTTGTAATTAAATATTGATAATACTTTATAATATTTCCTTAATTAAAATAACTTTTTGAGTAGGTGTGCAAGTAATCACTTAAATAATTCAATATTAAATATATGGATGATTTCCAAATTGTCATAAGAATATGAAGAATTAAGTTTTCCATACAAGGAGGGTGTATAAAATAAGGCGATGGCTGCAGATATTCCAAACATATAATCACAAATTCAAGTACAGTTAGTTTGTTTTTTTTTTATCTGGCATACTTTGATTTTAACAGATAAAAAATTATATTTTCTAAAAAATAAATCAGTCTGGTTTTATACTTTTGACTATGCCGGAGTTCACTTTTTTGGTTCACCAGTAGGTACAGAATTTCAAGCAAGTTGGGTTTGCATTGGACTGATGCTTTGGCTTTTACAAAGATAGTATAAAATTTATTCATTTAATAAAAAGATACCCGGTCTCTAGAAGAAACTGACTTTAAATTCACACTGCAGAGAAAACTTTCCGAAACTAAAACGTCAAGACATTACCATTCAAACACGCCGTTCTTTACATGAAACAAGGTGTGTACAAATTTCCCCGAAATACAAAGGCCCTGTGCCACGTATATGAATACATACGTGCTCTTTTAGCCTTCGTTCCTTCTGTCTACCTGAAATGCCACGTAATTTACGACCGAAACTTTCCCAGTACATTATATTTAGGCGGAGCACGAAATTTAAAGGTGTTTATGTCGATAATGGTCCATGTTTTTTAGGAGTTTGGAGTTTTCAAACTCTTTTTTGCGATGATAGCTTAAACTGCTCAGGAAATTATGTCTGAAATTTTTATGACATGTTGTGGTTTATGATGTACATAAAACGAGTGATTCAATTATATTCAAACGGTATTAAATGAAGTGAATTTTATGACTATTAATGAAGAAGACCTACTAAAAACTAAAGTATAAGCTTCAGTAAATTGAATATAATTTCTAATTAACACATAATTTTATTGAAAATATTTGGTAGATTTTGTGCAATATTAAAATTATTTTTTATTATTATCATGCTATAATTACCTCCTTGTAGGATAAGTCATTGTGATCGTCTAAAAATCGCTAATGAAAATTTTTGCATACCTCAGAAAAAATGAGTATATGTATGTATGTGTGTGTGTGTATGCGTATGTATGGATACAATTTTTCGTCCACGTTTTTTATATTTAAAAAGCATTTGTTTCCTATTGATAACGAGACGTGCTGATTAGTTTTTGGCAAAAGTCAGAATATGAAAATTAGGTTTTTGAGAACAAAGCATCCGATTTGAATGATTTGGAAAACTAAGCATCCGATTTGAATGATTCAAAAAACATGTTTCCTATTTAAAGGAACGATTAGTTTTTGAGGAAAATAAAAAATGTAACAAGTTCAATTTTTTTTAAATAATTTTTTGAATACCGAAAATGATCCGGATTTCGTTTTTAATTTCACATAGAATTCTAAAGTTCACTTATATATTCCAAATAAATAATTTGAACTTTGCAATTGATTTATAAGTTCTTACATTTTGTCTATAAAATATGAATAGTGAAAGTTACAATATTTATAATAATCTATGTCAAAACATTTAGTAGTCTTCGAATATTTTATTAAGGTACCATACATCACTACTTTATTTTTTTTATTCATAAAGTAAATTATTTTGATTATTTAGTACCATTATCTCGTATAATAGTTGTTTCATTTTGAACTTATCTGCCACATGAATAAATATGTTTAAATTCTAAAATTTAGTTAAAACAATGAAAATAGTATAATTGCTTGAAGACAAATTATATTTGTGTAGTTTATTAAAATAATCGATAAATAATTAACTTTTTTTCAATGTTTCTAATTAAATTTAATTGCTATTAATCTAACAATGATGAAAAGATAATATTTGAACTAATTGTCAGTTCAGTATAATTGATATCTTACAGTAAGGTTTAGGTAAAAGATCTTCAACATTTTGAATTTTATTTTAAAACAGTAACTTTTCTCTAAAATTATATTATGCATAATGTAATTGTTTTAATAAATTATTGTTGAAAAACATATTAAAATTTTGATACATTAGTAATTTCCTAAATAAGTTCATTTTCCAGTAGTAATGCTCCGGGTCTCATGATATTAAAATAAACGTTAAATATCTTGCATATTTTTCATTTTTTTAATTTTTTTGTTTAAATTAATTTTAATTAATCTAACAATGATGAAATATAATATTTGAACTAATTATAAGTTGAGTATAATTGATATCTGATAGTTTGTTTTAGGTAATAGTCAGAACTCGACATTTTTAATTTTATTGTAACTTTTATCTAAAATTATATTATGCATAATATAATAATTCCAATAAATTATTATTGAAAAACATAATAAAATTATGATACATTAGTAATTTCTCAAATAAGTTCATATTCCATTAGTAATGCTCCAGGTCAAATGATATATTATACTTCCCCTACATGTTGAGTATCATTTGATTACAACATTTGAGTTAGAATATTTGGTTTTGATAGGTAATTGTATAATATTTATACATTTCCTATGTAATATTACCGTAGAAATAGTATAAACACCATTAGCACAACACCGATGTGTATATTACATCATGAACAACTAGTATAAAATTTGTTTACTTTGAAGAACCGCGACGTAAACCTTTCAACAAACTTACACATCATCAATATGATCGATCGTAAATATTTTATATGAGAATATTTGTATTCTGTTTTAAGAAAGATACTAAACACTAATGATTATAATAGGCAGAGGAAAATGATTCTTGCAAAACAAAAATACAGATTGGAAAGAAAAGGTTTATACATGTTGTTAGAAGCTTTTAATTAGTTAGTTGGGGATATGAATAGTTATTTGCTTCTACATGAAAAATGTAATTTGGTTACTTCAAATCATAAGCTTTCTATTATGCGTAACGATTTTTGTTTTAATAGAGAATTTATAAAAAATGGTGTTAGCCTTAACATTAAATATCTAATACGTTAGCTCTCGGAAATGCTAAGAAATAAATTGTAATATTCCCAAAATATAAATAATTATATAAAAGTAAACGAAAAAAAAATATCTTTACCGAATACTCTTTTTAACGATTTCATACTCTAACCAAATAAATATTTTTTTCCTTAAAATAGCAATCAAGTTTCAATAAAATATTGTAAGTTATTAGTTACAATAAAAGTAAATAGTAAAAGGTATAGAATAAAAAAAACAATATTAATTTAGAATTCACTCCTTGGAGACGAGTCTATTTATTTATTTGAGGTAAATATTAACTAGTGGTGTATGGCATCATGCCTTAAGGCAAATTGTTGGAACTGCCCGTACAGTAACGAAATGTTCGAGAAATATTAAATGTTTTAAATATAGATTATTATAAATACTGTAACATTGTGTAATATTTATAAGAATTATATAAACTGAATTACAAAGTTAAATTTATTTTTTTAAAGTATATTAGAACTTTAGTCTAAATTGAAAATTAAATCTGAACTATTTTCGATATACAAAAAAAATTGACAAAAAAAATATTTAAAACATTTTTTTCCAAAAGCAATTATTTTATTAAAACAAGCGGAAAGTTCTTTGTATAATTCAAATCGGATGCTTAGTACTCTCAAAAACTGCAATTTTTTTGCACATTTAGCTCTGTATCTTCGAAATGGTCGAACCTGCCTTTGCCAAAAACTAATCACCCCTTCCCCCAATCATTACAAATTGAATGATTTTTAGATCATTCAAATCGGATACTCCGTTCTCTCAAAAACTCGATTTGTATTTTCTGCACTCTTTGCTATGTATCTCCTTAACAACTGGAGCTGCCCTTGCCAAAAAGTAACCAGCACATCTCCCTATTAATAAGAATCGAATGTTTTTGAACCATTCAAATCGGTTGATCCATGTGCCCAAAACGTCGAGAAATGCAAAAATATTCATTTTCGATCGATATTTTACCCATTACTATAACTGCCCTACGGGAAGTTAATAAAAACTTAAGCCAGTAAGAAAAGGTTACTACTTATATAAGATTTTAATAAAATGTAGTAGGTAACTGATATAAGTTTTGATCCTAATATAAATTTTGATCCTCATAATAGTTCAATTACCTAATAATGGTACTAATTGTAGGTGATAATATATTACGTAATAATATTGCGAAAACCTAAGTTTTGTTTTT